TACCAGTATAGTATAATGTACTGTACTAAAATGTAACACCTTTACATTATTGTTTAATTGAGTACTATATTGTATCTTAGTAAGATCTGATTAAGTCTGCTAAATGAGTTACTTCTATCTGGGGGTACAGAAGTATTGAAAATTTTTATTTTTTCTAATTAGAAGTTACTGTACAGAACAGAATTATTATATTGTACAGTAGTATTAGTTTAAATTTGGGAGCAGAGTGTACAATATAAATACTACTGAAGTATAGTACATGACTGTACAGTATAGTACATGAAAATGTATGTTTTATGCTACCCTGGAAATACATAAATTATCAATAATCTCAAATTCTTTCTTCCCTATAAGTGACCTGTCGGCAAAGTGTGAGGACTATGCAATTAAGTCATTGTGTTACGCTGCACTCCCTCTGTGTAATGAGAATTTGCCAGAAGCAGAACCTAGACAGCTTTGTAGAGAAGAATGTGAGATCCTGGTAAGTATGGTTTTACAATAAATAAAAAAAAAACCTACCGGAATAACCAGTATCTGTACAGTATTGCTTTTGTGCCTGTGTGTGTAGGAGGGGGAGGAGGGGGGGCAAGACTCCCTTAACATAAATGTTTAAAAAAAAAAATGACTTTTTATCCTTGCATAGCAAATTTTTCAGTTCATTTTTACAAATTATTTTGACCCTTTGGTTTTTAAAATTTAAGAGCTATTAATTGTTTGTCACTGTGGGTAGAGAATTGGAGAAACTCAATATAATAATAAGAAAAGTGCTTTGTATGTCGAGTATAGTATTGTACAGTACTTAACCAATTAAGCAGGAATCAATATCTTTTCTGTGTGGAATGGACATGGAAAAATCCAGGGGAGACGTGTTGCATAAAGGTGAAGGAAGAATGCAAAAAATAATAGAGGAATAAGTCTTTTGAATATAACAGGGAAATAGTGATAGGGTTGCAGTTGATAGAATAAGGAAAATGAATGTTGGATGGGTGAGAAAGGCGGAGTATTTAGTTTTGGTAGACATTATATAGACTAAAAGATATCCAGTAAAGATGCTCACAGAAAGATACTTAAGAAAAAGACAAGAAACTGTACACAGGCAGCATTTATGAATCTGGAAAGGCTTATACTATGATGGATCTATTATTGCTGTCCATAAGTGGTGTTGAGGATTTATGAAGTAGGAGGAAAGTTGTTTGATGAACAGAAGGTATTTTATAATAGTAGTACTAACTACAGTAGTAAGGTATATGTGAGCAAATGAAGAACTAAATGACAATTTTAAAGCATGGGAATAGAAGTGGTTGTTTAACATTAATTCACTTGACAATATTTTAGTTTAGCAATATAAAATTTTTAACACCCTTTCTTGTTTAATGATTAGTAAAAATTCGGTTTAGCGATGTGCAACTTTCTATGATGGGGGAAACTAGGGATGAGGTGGCCTGTAAGATGGCTTGTTGCCTTTGTTACAGGTAATAAAACTATAAAAGTTGTGGAAAAATCATTATAATACTCTAATGTGGCTTAGAAATAAAGAAAATGTATTATAAAACTGAGCATGTGTGGGTGTATGTGATGTGTGGGAAGTGAACGTATGTATACAGGTGTATGAGACAATGAGCTGTAACCGTGGCCAACTGCACTCTCCCTCCCCCCTATTTGATACAGCAGCCACAGACTGAACTGTGTTGCATGTATACTATGAGGAATAAAAAAAAAAAATACCCTGTATTGCATTGCCATTTGCCAATCATTTCACTACACACAGGACATGAGACAGCAAACAGCTGGAAACCCCCACAGTGCTACCCCTCCCCTCCCCTTCCCCTGCTTTGTGTGCTAACTCCCATTCACGTATGTAAGAGTTATTCCCTCTATGTTTTTTACCGTATAATAATTCTTCAATTTGTTATGCACATTCTGTATGAATGATTGTGTGTGCATTAATAGTAAAAAAAAAGAAAATACATACAGTTTACAGAATCTACCCAGAACCATGAGTTGAAAAAATAACAATAACAGTTCACAGTTTGGTCTGCTAGGAATATTATTCCTCGTTATCCCGCGTTTAGTAATAAATTTGCTTCACGTTAGATTTTGGTAACATGTCTCAATGTATTTAATACAGTACAATGTATTTTGCAGAGAGTAAACAGGAACTGCAAAAGATAAGATTAAAGGGGATTCAAGATAACTGTTAGGAAAGGGTTCTGATGCAGTGGACTTGATAAAACATGTAGAATAAAAAAATACAAAAGTTGAAGACAGTTGGTAAGAGGATGGAGTTTGATAGAGTGGACTTTCATAAACCAAGCAGAGTAGAAAAATCTAGCAAATTGAAATGTAATACTGTATATTATGGTAAGAATAAATATGTAGTACATAACTCATGTGCTTTTTGTGTCTCTGTAATGTCTTAAAGGTAAACGATGTGTGCAGAATGGAATATGTTATTGCTAAACAACATCAACTGATTGGACAACGGCTGCCAATTCCTGAATGTGAGGAGCTTTCACCGATCACATCTCCCGATCATCTGTCCTGCATTCGTTTGGGAGTGCAGAGTGAACCCCTTGTTGAGGGTTAGTTAAAATGTCTTCTGTTTAGAGATTACAAAGAGTGTTATTTGTTGATGACTTACTTTAAATATACTTTGTGTGTGGCATGTACATTCAACAAAATCTTCTCGAACACTTGGGCATGATGGATGTGAGAAGGAGCAGAATGGGGCTCGTCATCTCAGAATAGTTTTAGATTCTTCGTTCCTTTTACAGATTGCATAGTAGGGGGCAGGGAAAAACACTTTTATTTGAGTTGCAGGCTGCACTTTTCAGGCATCGTTTGTATGGCTGTAACAAACACCTGTGCAAAATTTCATGCCATTTCATGCATACTTACCCTGCCGCATCGCGAACGACTTTTTGTCAACTTTTAGTGTACAGTATACCAAAAATTAGGTGTCATTTAATGTTTTCCAGGATAATGATAAATTTTACATGGGTGACATCGATTTAATTCACATGTTATTTTACAGGTACACCGTATAGAAAATCATTACAAGTTCATATTGAAATTCTTTTTGTGCGGAACCTTGGCATCATTTTCCTAGACAATAATCTTTGCCTAATATATCCATCTCTCGATTCGTATCCCGTCACTTCAGTGCAAGCTTCAGTCATCACTTTTATGCCTCTCTCGACCGCCTGAGTGCTGTTTGGCCACTTGGGCACCACTACTGGTGTCTCAAGAATGTCATTAACCTGTAGATTTGACAGAGAAGCAATGTAAGGAGGCTCAGTCTTGAGTTCATTCCTCCAGTTAATCATGGAATGATAGTTTTTTGCTTGCCACTTTAGTTTCGGAGTCACCACCTTTCTCATGTTGACTACAGGAGGCACATCCTCATTCCCATCTCCATCTTTACCCTCCTCATCAGTATAGTTTAACAAATTCTCGTCAACAGCAGCATCAGAATCTTCCTCCTCCTCTTCAGATCTGCCAGTGCATTCTTCCTTTTGCTGATTCTCCTCTCTAATTTTTCTTATCATTGAGACAGCTTTTTCTCTAACAGTCATGTCCTCATCTGCACACATACCAAGAAGAATTTGATCTGTGTGGGCGAAGTATGCATTTCTCTGGACAGCCTTCTTCACTATCGTCTCCTCCTCACTATTCAGGTGTTTCATATATAGCAGGGACTGGAATACGTTCCTTGAGCCGTGTGTTACGTAAGGGTGTATCTTGATGTAAAACCACATTGGAGCACTAAACTTTATTATTGTAATGACAATTCTTTTCAACTCATGGCTGGGTCTTGATGTTGCTACATACAGCCTGAGGATTCTACTCCATAAGGTGTTCCACCTTGACACACAGGGAGGACCTGGCTCAATAGCAGCCAAGTCATCTTCAACAACACCTGTGATAACTCCTTTACAAATCCTATACAGGTATTTCTGATCCCAGGACAGATCTTTCTCCACTTCATCATTAAACACAGGGAAATCAGGGAAACTGACTGGCTGGAAGGCGACAACTGGAAGCTCAGACAAAGACTCCTTGATCTGCTTTCCAATGGGACCACGCCAATGCTCAGGACCACTTGGTTTACCATCATAGTGATAAAATAACTGCGCGGAAAGGCAGCTCATTTCCGTGAAGCTGACATATGAAATAATGGAGCGGGTGACCAAGTAACATTTCAAGATGATGAATGACTCCATTTTCAGATCCTACATTTACATTGGTTCCATCACAACCAACACACACAATGGGCTGCTGGGTTAGATTTTTCTCCACCAGAAACTCGTGAATAGTTTTGGCAATCTGCTTTCCGTGTCCAGTCTTGGGAGTCACATGTGTGAGATATTCATTGCCAGGCTCAACCATGATGACATAATGATCTTTCACCATCATCCTGGAACTCCATTTCTCGGTCTTCTCATTCTTTATCATCACACGAGTGGCGGTCTTCTTACCATCAAAATAGAGTGACGTCAAATTATCTAAACTAGCCATCTCAATTTCTTGCCTCTTAAATCGGTATTTTTGTCTCGCATCCCGCAGCTTATGTGGTCCAATAACCTGACTCTTGTCATCCGTTGTGATAATGCCATAGTCAGTTAAGGTGGCAGTAGCAATGGCAGCTCCAGCATAATCACTAATCAAGTATCGGTCACAAGCGGCAGCCAGTGCGCCAACTTACCCAGGTCTCCCCTACATTACAGTACAGTAACACAACATTGAGAAATGAAATGAGAAAAGGCTGATAATCAATATAGACATAGCACCATACTCATCTGCAACAAGACAACTTAAATGAAATAAGAGATATGAAAAAAAAGTTGATAAACACTGAACAGGACATTGCACCGCCACAGCGGCTGTTTGGCTAGTACTGTAGGTAAATTTAAAAATTTCAGTAGAAAATGCGGCAGACTAAACCTCGACATATCAGCTTCAAATTTGGCATGGAGTCTTAGATATGTATAAGGAACAATGCCTGAAGAGTGCAGCTTTGAGCAAAATTTCACTGCCCCCTATTGCATAGTGTTTATAGAGTGTGAGAAGTTTTTGGTGAGAGTATACCTACTTGTTCTTTTAACACTTGTCTTGCAGTTGTCTTCTTTCTTGAAACATGTTTCCTTTGATCCACCCCACACATATGGAATTGGAGGAAATATAATAAGTAGATAGAAAGACAATACAGTATATACAGTATTCAATTTGTACAGTCTCTGAATATTTCAACTTAATGTGGATGAGTTTTTCTGCACAAGTATTATTATTTCAGATGAAAAGTGCTACTTAGGAAATGGCGAGACTTACCGTGGAACAGAGAGCCATACAGTCTTTGGACGAATTTGTGAGCCTTGGAGTCAGAATCAACTTTACATGCGAACAGCTGAATATCCAGAACTTATTGGTGGCCATAACTACTGCCGTAACCCAGGTGGAGCAGAGACACAACCATGGTGCTTTGTGGCAACTGAACACTCTGTATCCAAGGAGGAGTGTGCAGTTCAAATGTGCAGTAAGTATGAAGTACTGTACTATATACTGTATTGTATTTCAATAGTTTTTCAGTATGTCTACATGTTTTGTGGACTACAGTATTAAGCGTACCCTTTTCATCACTTTGTAATAAACCTAGCCATGCCTATGTGTGTTTATGATATTTACCATAACATTATATATATGTATTTAGTGGGTCTAAATGGTTGTAAAATGGGAAACTTGGGTGCCTGGAACCAATCAGAATAAATCCCACAGGTTCTGTACTTTCGTTATCGGCGGTGTCCCAATTAGGCGCGATAACCAAGGGATGATTGTACTGTATTGTATATACTTGTGAAACTGGCCAGTTGCTTCTGGTGTTATGGTACAGGGGTACCAAGTGACAGCACTAGGATCCCGCTTCCTCTATCAAGGAATAAACAATTAAAATTTAAATTGAAAAAAACATTCAAATAATGGGACATAGCGAACCTAAATGGCCCTATAGCGGGCACAGTCACGTATGCATCGCGTATTCTTATAGATTGTGCTGCCAGGCGTACGTTATCTAGTGAATTTAGTCAATATTGTACAGTAACAATGGACCTAAGTGCAAACCTGTATTGTACATGTACAAAATGATTACGGTACTAAAATTGTTATGTCTATTGCAAATATATCTTTTTTGTATAGGCATTCAAATAAATTACTATCTTACAAGAATCCCTCCAATGTAAGTTATATTCACCCAGGTCGTTTGGGTGGCAAATTATGAGAAGAGCTTAGTCACTCTTAAGCAATGATAAATAAACACTCAGGCAGGCCTTCAGCGCCAACTGTCAAATCTTATCTCAAATAAATAAATAAACAAACAAACGCCAGACATTCTGTCACCTCACCTCCCGCCCCCTCCCCCCCCTGTTCCCCCCATCTTCCTACCCTCCTTGTATTCCCAGACAAATGATTGGTGATTTCTTTATGTTTATTTTATATAATATCTCAGACTAAAGTTAGGATAATATAATTTGCATTGCTGAAATCCTTGAAAGACAGAGATTAATTTGAATATAAGCGTCATAAATTTTGCTCAAGATATAAAAAATGTAGTACATTAGTGTACAATACTGTAGTACATTTTATAAAAAGTTTTTCAACTGTATTTTTGGGTAGATTTACATAAATTTCTTCATTTATTTTCATCCATTTACATGCACACACCATACTAAAATAAACGTAAAAGAAATAAATGACCTTAGTGCAAAGCTGGAGTGCACATGTACTAATTTGATTACGGTACTAAAATTGTTATGTCTAGTGCGAATTACAACATGTTTATATTCAAATAAATCAGTATCTTACAAGAATCCCAGCAATGTTAATTATATTCTCCTAGGTCATATCACTGGCATTTTAAAATGAGAGAAGCTTAGTAGGACTGTTAAATAAACACACAGAGACCTTCGGCTCAAACTTATCACCTCAACCCCCCCCCAACCCCTCGCTGCTGGCTGGCTCCGTCAGTCCCTCCCTCCCCCCAGCCTTTTAGGCTTACAGTTTTTATCTTTTATAATATCTCAGACTAAAGTTAGGAGATTATAATTTGCATTGCTGGAATCCTTGCAAGACAGCCAATAATTTGAATATAAACGTCATATATTTTGCTCAAGAGATAAAAATTTTTGTACATTAGTGTACAGTACTGTAGTACATTTTATAAAAAAGTTTTTCAACTGTATTTTTGGGTAGATTTACATAGATTTCTTCATTTATTTTCATCCATTTACATGCACACACCACTCTGATTTATTATATCGCGATGTCGGATGTTGTTAGGTCGAACGTTAACAGTATGACAATATATATATATATATATATATATATATATATATATATATATATATATATATATATATATATATATATATATACATACTATATATATATATATATATATATATATATATATATATATATATATATATATATATATATATATATATATATATATATATATATATATATATATATATATATACAATACACGGTTTCACTGCCGCATTTATCATATCTGCGGTGCCTACGCCAAGTGAACTTTCACTTATCACAGTTTTTCCCATATCACGCGGTGAGTGTGTCCACGGCTCGAGGCAGCTATTTTAGATTTGCCACCGCCACCCTGCCTGACTGCCTGTTTTAGCTCATAAAATTCATACAAATTACCCGGCCAGAATATAATTTACATTGCTGGAATTCTTACAATTTGGTGATCATTTTGAATATAAACATCATATATTTTGCATTAGACATACAAATTTTAGATAAAATGTTTAATCTGAGTAAATATGTTATCTTTTGTGAAAAATATATGACATTTATATTCAAAATATTCCTGGTCTTACAAAGAATCCAGCAATGTCAATTATATTATCCTAACTTTAGTTTGAGGTATTATTTATTACAAAAAAGTTAAGTATTCTGGTTTTCCCACACATCTCCTTGGGACGGTTGGTGGGGGGTGGGGGGGAGGGACCGACCGACCGACCATCTGTTACCCAGTGAAGAATATTTTTTATTTTTTTTAACTGAAGATATTTGTTTTAGATCATAAAATTCATACAAATTACCCGGTCTGAATATAATTTACATTGCTGGAATTCTTATAATTTGATGATCATTTTGAATATAAACATCATATATTTTGCATTAGACATACAAATTTTAGATAAAAATTTTTCTCAGAGTAACTATGTTATCTTTTGTGCAAAATATATGACATTTATATTCAAAATATTCCTAGTCTTACAAGGAATCCAGCAATGTCAATTATATTATCCTAACTTTAATCTGAGGTATTATTTAATACTAAATGTTAAAAACCCTGGAAGGGAGGATTGGTGGGGGGTGGGGGGGAGGATTCGTGGGGGGTGGGGGGGAGGCAAGGTGGGGTACTTTGATTGACAGATAGTGTCGTGAAGATTATTTTTTTTTTTATTAACTGAAGATATTTGTTTTAGCTCATAAAATTCATACAAATTACCCGGTCAGAATATAATTTACATTGCTGGAATTCTTATAATTTGGTGATCATTTTGAATATAAACATCATATATTTTGCATTAAACATACAATTTTTAGATAAAATTTTTTCTCTAGGTAACTATGTTATCTTTTGTGCAAAATATATGACATTTATATTAAAAATATTCCTGGTCTTACAAGGAATCCAGCAATGTCAATTGTATTATCCTAACTTTAGTCTGAGGTATTATTTATTAAAATTTAGTGGTTTTCCCCAAAAAATTTCTCAGAGAGGGAAGAGCCAGCAGTGTAGTGTGAGAAGAGGGGGAGAGAGTTGAGTCCATTATTTGAATGGACATTAACTTGGCGACTGTATTTCTCTATTTCTCTTAAGTATTAATTGTGTGCATGTACCATCATAAAATTAAGATGTTATTTTTACTACAACATAGGTATGTGCCTTCAAAAAGTGGAGTTTGGGGGTCGGGCCGGTTTCTATTGGAATTAATCCCATATGTTCTGTTGTTCACTTAACGCGGGACCCTCTGGGTTCAATTGACCGCGTTAAGTGGGGTACAACTATATATATATATATATATATATATATATATATATATATATATATATATATATATATATATATATATATATATATATATATATATATATATATATATATATATATATATATTTCATGTAAATCCACAATGAAAACGTGGATAAGATAAATCTTGATAAAATCACACGGGAAAATGGAAACAACGGAGTACCTCCGTTGTTTCCATTTTCCCGTGTGATTTTATCAAGATATATATATATATATATATATATATATACATATACATATACATACAGGTAGACCCCAACTTACGACTGCTTCGACTTACGACCGTCGGGACTTACGGCAGCCGTAGTTGTGACCATTTTTCTTCTTCTTCAAATGACACACGCATTTTCTATACCGAAACGTTTCCAGTTAATGTAGTCTCCATGTATAATTAGAAAATTATAGGGGCCCCATGTTCATTCAGCTGACTACATTAAAGGTAAGTGCTCAGTCACACTGTATCCATTCCTCATTATTTTTTACTTTCACTGTAATGTATCCATTCCTCATTATTTATTACTTTTACTGTACTGTATTTCATTGCAGATTTTTTCTTTAAAAAAAATTTGATTTTTTTTTTTTTTATCATCTATGTCGGACTTATGACCATTCGGACTTACGACCTGG